AAAAAACATAATTCCATGTATGTATAACACGTAAATGTGGTAGAAATATTGATAAATAATTATTTTTTAATGTATTACCTTCACTGTCAATTATAAATAAACAACGTGATTCAATATTTGGACATTGTTGTTTTAAATGTGTTAATATATATTCATAAACATCATCCGAACGACGATTATGTAATGCACAACCTAATGAGTAAAGAACAAAATCAAAAAAACTTAAAAATCTTTCGTTTTTTTCTCGGAATTTCATGTCAATATAATTGATAAAATTTATATTAAAAACTTTCATATCATGACTTAACTATTAGATGTAAAGATGTTATTACAACAATATATTATTTATCATTTAATATAATCAAGATAGCTAATCTTTATGAAGTTGTAACATAAGTCGGATATTTATATTAATGATTTTGTTCAGAAAATTAATTTTTATAAAAAATACTTCGAATACATGCAAAAATTTCATAATATTAATCGATCTATCTTAATGCTAATTTCCTAGAAGATGAATAGAAGTTTTTGAAATCTTTCAGATTTCAAAACAAAAAAAAACATATTCATCGAACTGTTTGTAAGACTTACCAAGTAAAATACATGGTTCTTCTTTCATACCAATATGTCGATAGAAAACACATGTAACATGAAATGCATTAATTGTATATGCTGAATCAAATGTAATAAGAACTCGTTGTTGTGATAAAAGATCTGGATGATCTAATAATAAATTAAATTCATGCATAGATTCATTTGAAAAAGCAATAGCAACAATATTTGGTATTAATGTAAAACGCACAATATAATTTGGTGTTTCACGTGCAAAACGATATAATTCTGATATTTCATCAGCTGATGCAACAAGACGACGTGCTAAACGTCTTTTAACATTACGTATTTGTTCAATATTACGTGGTTGTGATAAAATTTCAGGTCCTATTTTAGGTTTTTTTGGTTCAGTTTTAATAATTGAAGGTTTTTTATCATCATTATCATCAACTGTTTCTTCTGCTTCCATTGAATTATTAACTGTTGATTCTTCTCCATCATCATCATCATCATGATCATCATCATCATGTGAATTATTTGTAGTATATTGTTTAAATATTTGTGCTGTTTCAGCATTTGATGCTGCTTCTGATATAAGTTTATTAAGTAATGATGGACGTGTACGAAAAAATGGTTTTGTATTTTTTTTTGAATTTCCATGTGGAAATTCTTCAGCAACATTTTCATCACCAAGATATTGTACAACAACTTTTGATGGATCAACTAATGATACAAATGCTTGTTTTTCAAAATCTTTACTTTTCTTTTTATTTTTTTGTCCAGCATGAAAATAACATTTTTTTATAACTGGATTATGTGTTGGTAAACGTCTTGCAGCTATTTGAACCCAACGATATCCATCACTACGCCAATCATCTATAATAAACAAAAAATATACATCAACTATCCGTGATATACCTTTGTTTTTTTTCCAAGATGATTCCAGCTTTTATTCATAAGAATTTTCCACCGGATGAACAAAGGTATTCATCGGAATATGAATACTTACTTTCATGACCAATATCAAGTTTCATAACATAAACTTCACCCGCTTTAGGTTTAAATGGTGGTGTTGAAGTAAATGTTGTTGTTGTGGAATCAAATAATGGTATAACTTGAGTTGCTTCAAGTGATTGATGTCGAACAAATGATGGACAATTTCCTGTCATTATGAATTAATATCAGAAGTAAGAATTTCTGATATTTTTAAAAATAAATTCTTTTTTAATTTTTATTCAAACCGGAAGAATGTTGAAAAGAAAATAGATTTCAATGTTAATATTGATGGAATATCAGTAAACAAAGCCACATCAATGAAAAGGTAATAATATGTTATTAATGGAGTAAATTGAATAAAAAAAATAATAAATAAATAAATTTACTTGAATAATAAAATTTATTTTAAATAATTTTCTCGAAATAATTTTTCTATTTTCTTTTTTTCTAATCTATTATTCTATTGTTGATAGATGGCACTAATAAAAATAAACAATATTATTAGTAGCATAGATATAATCAACAGTAATCAATTACATATACATGATTGTTTTGAGTAGCTTGAGTCAGTAAAATATTTTCTATTGGTGGTTACACGTGTAAATTAGTTTTTTCTCTCTCTTTGTTTGTTCTGTTTTGTTACAAAAAAACCATTTTCTTTTATGACTATCTATGAATTACTTGTGTATTCTGTTTCAAGGTAAGAAAAAATAAACGGAGTCGTATGAGTACATATATGTCTCTATGACTTTTTTTTTCGTTTACAAACTAATAGTGAGATTTAAGGAAGACAAAATAATTTTTTAAGATTATTGTTTTGTTTTTCTTTCTTTTATCTTGATGGTATAATTGATTTTCTATTTGATTTAATTTAAAAGTTTAAGATTAATAAGAGACGAATCATATCAAATAAGTACACATATTCATTTGTCAAGGTTTTCTTTTTTTATTTAATGTACGTGTATATATTTATATTCAGAGTTTTAATTAAGACATGCTTATGATCCTATATTTAATTATTAAGTAGGACAAATATTAAAATGAGAGATGTTGGTTCAATTAGCTTTAGTTGACTGTTGAGCGCATATTTATATAACTTTATGTTGATGATATATAAAAACAAAACATGTCAAAGTAGCGTAAATTTCTGTGTTATCACTTTTGTAAGAATTCATTCGTCTTTTTTCTCCTTAAATCAGTTCTATATAATGCTAGAAAATAGTGTCATATTATTTTTCTAAAAGCTTTTTACTTCTTGTATAAAATTGATGAGATGACCGAAGGATTGATCTTATATTTCACTAGTTTATGACTCTTATTAGTTTTCTACATCAATCTTAAATTCAAGTTAAAATCCGAAGGACTATTCATAACAAAATTCAATATGTCCATTATAATTTGATCGAACAAACTGATCTTTTTATTTCTGAGAAATAAGTACAAATAATTTATATTTGATAAGAAAAAAAAATCGCATACTTCAAAAAATTAATTTCAATTAAGTATAGTACAGTTAGTTTTTTTGTCTATAATAGCTCATAGCATTAATCTTTTATTAATATAGTTAAACTTGCAAAATATCTTTTAGAATCTTAGTTATTAATTCAAATACAAATATTTTGTTGTTATTTTTTTTTTAATCTAAAAATTATCGAGATCATGGAGAATATTATTTTTATTTAAAAAACAAATGTTTTTATGAAACGTTATTACAAAAACAAACCTAGGCGATTATATGAAGCTCAAAGAATCCAATTATTTCTTTCAGTTAACAAAACATCATAGAATAAGAGAACAGGCGTGCTTCCACACTCTATAAACGGTAGGCTAAATCTCATTAACTTGAGTTTTTTGTATCTGTATGTCGAGACAAATATATTTCGAAGACGAACAGAAAATTTAGACCAATAAAAAAAATTCCTAAAGATACTAGAGAATATGTTGTACTTTGCGGTATATATTTGCGGCTGGATGATTTATCAATATGATTTATTTGAAATATTTATTGCATTCACAGCCTTAAACTTGAACGAAGAATATTCTTTTTGATAAACTAGTTTTCCGTAAAATAGATTAGTCTTTAAAAAAAAATTTAAGAAATTCTATTGTCTAATCAATCACGATGACATGACATAGATGCACTTTCACGTTCTGGGTACGTGCAACCTTTGATTACATTGTAGAACATTTGCGTTAAACATACCATTTTATTTAATTATAATTTGTTTTTAATTTTCTATTTGCTGACAAATGCAATTATGTTGATATAGTTAAATAAAAAATAATACAATTTTTAGTGACGTATGACATGAGAAGAACTCTCTTAATAATTATTTTTAAAAGAAAAATAATGTATTTATTATTTTAATGAAATTTTATTCAGTGTCAGGTCATAGAAATCTAAGTACATTTTTTTTTATTAACGATAAATTTCTCTGCTTGAGATTTATTATGTACAAAGAAGAAAACAAAATGGAATGTTGACTTGTATTTATTTAAACTTGATTTTTAATGATAGATTTTATTGTCACTATGATCCTGTTTTCTTTGTCTTCAAATTATATTTATTTTTTTTATGTTTTTTTGTTTAGATTTTTTTTTATTATGATTTAAATAAATAGGAAATATAATCAATAATGGCATCTTCAGGTAAGATAAAAATCAAGCAATTTTTCTCGATATATTGTCACATTAACCAATTCTATCATCAATATCGATTGATTAAATATACAAGTGTGCTGAATATATTTCATTTCTTTTTTTCTCTTCTTTCAATTGATAGACGTATGTATACCTGCAAACATCATACAATAGCCTTTTTCTTTTCTTTTATTCGACATTTTTTTTTCCTTGCTTTCATTACTTCATCTATTAATCGATGAAAAAACAATATATTCGCCTCGTTCTTGAAACTGAAGGAAAAAAAAGCACCATGATGTGGCCGTAAAAAATACGCATAGGCGAAGGAAACTATCTTTGTGCAATTGTAGCAGACATTAATGTCAACAGATATGAAAAGAAAAGCTAGCCATATCCATACGATGAGAAAATAGAGATATATTACGAAGGAAAAAAAATACGAATGACAATTCTAATGTCTTATGACTGCTGATTGCTTCAAGATATCGTTACAGAAATCTACCATTTGTTCAATATATGATACACTTAACTTGAGTTATAAATAAAGTAATCTTTTTTTTTTGTAATTTTCTGCTGTTTTTTCTTTTTTTCTTTTTCGAGTGACTATCATTTTCTTCGTTCGTTCTTCTTATCTTGCCTGGTTTTTTCCTCGTACTTCTGTTTTCGTTCTCTTATATTGTCTACTTGCACATACTCAATCAGAAAGAACTAGCAGTAGGTGTCATACACTTTGCGCATGATTCGGTGATGGCATTGCATGGTAATGTTAATATGTACTTAAAATTTTTTTTTTGCTGTTCGTTTGTTTGTTTATTGATTGTATTATTGAATCGGTTGTTGTTTTTAGTGCGACGTACTATTGGTAGTGGAAATATAAACGAACCAGTAACTATAATTAAATGTGAAATTGATGATGAATTTGTTGGTCCTAATGATGGTCTTGGAGTAGTATCAACAGCAATGGCTTTAGGTATTAATTCGACAACAAATACAACATTTGGAAATAATGCTGATGGTTTAGATTGTGTTGTTTGTGGTGATCGAGCAACTGGTAAGCAAAAAATACGAAAAACAATATTTCAAGGCCTTAATTTTGTTTCTTTTTTTGTATTTATCTTTTATAGGAAAACATTATGGAGCAATATCATGTGATGGATGTAAAGGATTTTTTCGTCGAAGTGTCCGTAAAAATCCTGTATATGAATGTCGACATCAAAATAATTGTACTATTGATAAAGATAAACGTAATCAATGTCGACATTGCCGTTGGAAGTATGCTTATATATAATAACATTATTCTTCTAATTTGTCGTTTTTTCTTCTTACAGAAAATGTATTCGAATGGGTATGAAAAAAGATGGTAAATATTATCTATTTGTATTATTTTATTGTATTCATTTTTTGTTTTTTATTATTTGAAATATATTAGCGGTACAAAAAGAAAGAGATCGTCTCGGACGACAACGTAGTCATGTTTATAATTTTGGAACAACAAATATAAAATCCAGTGGAAATCTTACTGGTGATCTTGATGAGGATGAAGATGATTTAAGTGTAACAGCTCTATTAAAAGCTGAAAAAACAGCTCAAGAAGTATTTAAAAGAATTTATTTTTATATTTCAAATATCATTTTTTCTCTTTTTTTTGTTTTGTTTTGCTATAGTATATTGGTCGACAATATCGATTAGATCGACCACCATCTAATACAGAGCGTGTTCCAGCTACATTAGAAACAATTGGTATATCAATGAATTATCAACTTCGTAGTCTTATTGAATGGGCAAAAGGTTTGAAGGGTTTTGTTGAATTATCTGATAATGATAAAGTAATTAAGAGAGAGAAAAAAATACACAAATGATACATAATTAATGTGTTTTTTTTTATCTAGATTGCTCTGTTACGTGGTCATACAGGAGAAAATCTCATATTAGGTGTTGCATGTCGTTCATTAAACTGTGATGATTATTTACTATTAGGTAATCATTATGTTATACCAAGAAATGCATCTGATCCAGGTTTAAGTCGTGCAGCTGGTAGAATACTTGATGAAATAGTTAAACCATTAAAAGACAATCAATTAGATGAAAAAGAATATGCTTGTTTAAAAGCTATCGTTTTTTTCGATAATGGTTTGTATTTATGATAACACAAACTAAAACAAAAAAACCAAAATGAAAATAAATTTTCGTATTATTTTATAGATAATAAATCTTTATCAAATCCAATGCGTGTTAAACAATTACGTAAACGTATACAAGTTAATCTTGAAACATATATTAATCAACAAAGACCATTAATGCGTGGACGTTTTGGTGAATTATTATTATTATTACCACCATTACAAAATATAGCTCGATTAATGGTTGATCTTGTTGCACGTTATAGTCAAGATACAAAACAAGTTGATGATCTTATTAATGAAATGCTTCTAAGTAAGTTTTGATCTCTTGAATTACATAAGACAAAAAAAAATTACCCTGGATTAAAATGAAAACAAATTTTTTTTCTCTCAAAAAAAAAAAGGAAAGGAAAAAAAATCTTTTTGTATAGAATAAGAAACTAAAGAGAAAGAGATTCCTACAACATTTGTAGTTCCATGAGTTCAGATAGATATCGTGACGATTGTCAGGAAGCGGTGATATCCACAACGACCAATACAAACCATACAAACATCAACACGACATCATCATCATCTCCAAGTAATTCAAGTAAGAAAAATTTATTAAGTACTACATATATGTATATATATATATTAGATAGATATTTGCACATAATAATTTTATTTTTATATATTGCACGCTATAGTAATCGGTTTTTGCATGCTTTAAAAAAAAAAGAAAATTTATTATTAGTAGCATTGTTGCAAGTCTAATGCATTGTACAATTGTTATTGGGTTTACTAACATATTATGCTGTATAAATATTTCATTTGCATAGTATATTTCTTTTTTTTTTTCGTAATTATAATTTTTTTTTGTTTTTTAGTTTCAAAAGAGAACGATCTCGATTCAAGTGCTTCTTCAATTGATACCGATATGGAAGACAATATATCTCAGGAGACTGATCAATATGATCATTTAGCATCAGCAACACCTGTAACAACTTCAGTTATGATTGTACCACGAGCAGTTGATGATGAACTTAATAATATTTCACTTAATGAAAATGATGATTATACACCAAATAATTTATCTCATATTCATCTTCTTCATCCAACTGTTAATACTGATCCAAATTTATATCGTCATAATCGAACAATTGTTGATAATAATCCAATATCAAGTGATTTTGATCAATATCAACATAGACAAAATTTACAATATTTTACAAATACATCAAATGAACGATTAAAATTAAATAAATCAAAATCTATAGCAACTCCATCAACAACGGGAACAAATTATGATCCTAATAGTGATATAAATTTTTTATATGATCTTGTTACACCACCGACAACAACAAGAACAATTTCACAGTCAGTACAATCACAATCGAATAATGATGATAATCATTTTTTTGATGACCATTGGAATGAATAAATATTCTTTCTATGTCTAGTTAAATAAATATTTAATCAAGAAGGTGAACAACGAAAAAAAAATCGTACATATATAGTTGTATGATATATGATCTTTTCAAATACGTATCTCTCTCTTTTGTTTTTGTTTTTTCCTTTTTTTTTTTTTTTTTTGTTTTTTTTTAGTGTAAAAAATCTTTCTTACTGTCCGGTCATTTTGTTTTTCTCAATCATATCTAAGTGTACTTGTCTGTCTCTGTGCATTTTGTCGTTATTAGCAGAAAAACAATAAGACACTTCTTTCTTTTTTTTTTAAAGTTGCGTACTTGTTTTGGCCTTTTTGTTTTCTTCTACCTCGAATTTTTTCATTGCTAATATTATTATTATTATTATTATTATTATCGATGTGCGCGTTTATGCGTAAATTTAGGCAGATGTATCACATTACGTGCGTGTGTGTTTTATGTAGTATTTTATTATAATTTTTTTCTTCTTCTTTTTTCTTATTTTGTTTTGTGTGCATAGGTATGAAGATGATTCAGTTTGAAATTATTGGTATTCACCTATATATGTGTGTGAAAAAGAGCCAAAGCTGTTGATGAACGAATTGACTAGTTATTTTTTATTTGGTAATCGGAGATTAAAAAAAATTAATTTTAATTGCTTGAAATAAGCAAAAGAATAATTAAAAATTTAGGAATTTTAGAATCTATATATATATATATATTTATTATTGTAATAAGAAAAAGACAATCATATGTTGAAAGATATAAAATGAATAATAATAGCGATTTAACAAGATAGGCTTTTTTTTCTTGTTATTAGTAATTGTAATTTAATTTGTATGTTTTTTTTCTGGCTTTTGTAACTTTAACAAAGGTTTGTGATTAAAAAAATGCTTTATAGAAATATTAAATCTAATATTTATAATATATTCAAAGGTGATTTCGCATTTTTCTTCAATGGAGTTTTTTCCTTGGCTCACCAATTCTAAAAAAATATTCGAATTCTCTCTCCTAAATCAGGTAAATTCTAGCAAAAACCTTATGAGTCATCGTCCTTCCTCTCTAATTCTAACGACCTCGAAGACATTCTTGAATATATTTCTATCCAACAAAAAAAATGATCAAATTCACTATTTTGAACTATATACAATTGAATATCAAGATTTACCAGCTGACGCAATTTTTATTTAAATATAACATTTATCATTGAAATTATAGTCTGCGTTTCCTTTTTTTTTTGTGATGAAGGACACATTCAAATCATAAATACAGAACAAGCAAATGTATGTTATAAAAAAACGACAATTCTGTTTCTTGTTCTTCGACAAACGACACATTTTCTTCGTTGGACGCTTTACTTTTTTTTTTTTACTTGAACTCATAATATTCATTCCTCCATTTTCTTCGCTTTCTCATTTTTTTTTACCTTCCTCTCATTGATACCCATATTCACGGCTTTATTTGGTGACCCTTTCCTCATTCGTCTCATTTTTTTTTCTTCTTTTCATTTATACACACACATATATATTCGTTGATGGTCTCCTAGCAGAATATGATTTTTATCAAGGCTATAGCAGGTTTAATAGACAAATTAATTTTTATAAAAAGAAAATATCCTATTTAGGAGTTTTAATAACTATTATTATTATATGTGATGGACAATTTTTAACGCCAGATCAATTACGAGAACAACAAGATCTTGGTTATGGAGCTCGAACACATTATGATTTATCGGGAGGTCGACTAACAGATATGTTCAATCGTATCAATCCCGATTATTTACTTCGAGGTTCTTTACTTTTTTTTTCATAATTTTATTTTGAAAAAGCAAATCATCGTTTGTTATTAATATCTTATAGGTTTTTTTCCATTTTGGTCAGTTGTACTTATTGCTTTTGCACTTGTATTTCTAACAATAGCTGTTATTGGACTTATTGGTTATTTATTAGGATGTCGTCGACCAACTGCGGAAGAAATTTATGTAAAAGAATTTCAACGAATACCACCAGATGATGAATTTTTATTAGGTAATGATGGTTCTACAAATGCAAATGGTATTCAAATATCAACAAATGAATATTTTAATAATAATCAAGATTTTCCTTATAAATCATCACCACTTGCAGAACGAACACGTATTGGACAGAGTGGTGAAGATATGGTGTAAATAGATTTATATGAAAAAGAGAAAATGTCAGTGACGTGCTTTGATATAACTTTATTTTTGTTTCATCATAAAAATAAAATAGCGAAGTTTAATTAGGATATCGTATCGAATATATTCTTTTGATATAAAAATACATGATTCTTTAAATATTTGAGAGAAATCAATAGTAAATTAGAATAATGAAAAATACGATCATTTTTATTAATTTCATATTGCATTAGATATAACATGTTTTATTGAGTTATTATTAAAAAAAAACTCGAAAGAGAAAATTTTCAAAATATAAAATGTCAAAAAAAAAATCCAATTACAAACAGTCAAAAAATTTCCTCGTGTTTTATCACGATTCAATTTGATTTTTATGTATATATTTTCTTATTATGTATGGTGTGTTTTCTTAGATATTTTTATGCAATCAAAAGTGATGTTTTCTCCGATTTTCTCTATTAGATACCATCAATACAAAACAAATTATTACTATTCGTTCGTCGTTCATCTACCGTTGTATAAACATAAGCTTCTTTACTATTCCTTGTTATTTTATTATGTAGCAAACATACCAAAAGCTGATTCGAATGAAGCACTTACAATCATATTTCTTACGAGTAATCCAAATAAATATCTTCTCTTATTTGACGTTTCTATTGATCAAAGAGAAAATAAATAATAAAGAAATTCATTATGAAAATGAGTTATTGAAAGATATGAGAAAATATGTTTTGAACTTTAACAACAAATTGTTTGCTCGAGTTATTATTTGATTAAAATAACTTAAATCTTGTTGATCTTCTTAAAAGATTTTCTCTGCTTGTTTGAACACTATAGATACTTTTTTTTTCTATATTCAATTGTTTATAGTGAAATATATTTGAATTCGATGAAAATGAATCTATTAGTTCGGAAAAAAATATTAAAACTAGATCGTCATATAAGGACATCTTGTATTTCTTCTTTAATTTCAATAAGTTATACATAATTTAAAGAAGTTTTTAAAAATTTAATTTAGAGATTTTATAAACTAACGACACTGGAATAGTAATAAAAGGCCGAAAATGAAGCCGAAAACTGAAAAATATGATTGGCTATCTATAATTAATCTATGATTCGAACCGATAATAGCCAATCATATATTTTTGGTTTGTTTCGGTTTTCGGTTACATTTTTAACCTTTTATTATTACCTCGACAACTGTTGATCATTCTCTCTGAGATACATATTAAATGGATATAATATGGACTAATGGATTCAACATAGAATCATGCTAACTTAGCCGCATATCACGTTACCATGTGAATGTGAGTTTCAATCGACACTGTCGAAGTATTTTATTTTTTTTGCACTGTGTGACCCAACGCTCATGTACTTTCACGAGGCATCAAACAAGTTTAGTTGGTACTTAATGAGTCACATTCTCATTAATCAATATGAGGCTTGCTTTCCTTCTTTTACGTTTCTGTTGTCAATCTGTTACCTCCACAAACGACCGATGAAGAAAAGGTTCTCTTGTTCTGCTGGTTTGGATAAAATTATTCGTTATTTCTTTCTCGTTGAGCAGATTAATCAAATATGTTGCAATTACATTCTAGCAAGAGAACATACACGTCCTGCGCTGATAGATAAATAGGTTGTATTCTACCTATGTCCCTTGTCATTTGCATTTTATTCCAATTTCGATGGCTCGCACAAAGCAAACAGCTCGCAAATCAACAGGTGGTAAAGCAGTTCGTCAATCTGCTGTTTTTCAAACATATGCTAAACGAAAACAAGCTGAAGCTAAACAACAAGGTAAACCAGAAATAACGGAAGCTGAAATTGAAGCAACAGCTCCTGTTGATGTAACATATGATGTTAGTTATGAAAGTTCATTTTATGCTCATCATTTTACGGCACAACCAACAACAACAGATTTATTTATGCCATCATTTGGTATTGCTACAACAATTAATCCATTAGAAAATGAAAATAAAACTATTGAACATTGGCTTAGTGTTAATTTTAATAGTTGTCTTGATGGTCCAGGTATTCGTACACATCGTGCTCGACTTCATCTTGTTATAACACTTGATATATCGGGTTCAATGTCGAATAAATTTGAAGGTGAACCAGGTAAAACAAAATTACAAATAGCACAACAATCATTATTAACACTTCTTAAACAACTTTCACCTGATGATGCACTTGGTATTGTACTTTTTAATCATGCTGCAACAGTTTTACAACCAATGGAAAGAATATCATCAATTAATAGGACACAATTAGAAGGAAATATTCTTAAATTGCGTGCAGATGGTGGTACTAATATTACTCGAGCTATTGAAGTTGCTAGTGATTTATATAATTCAGAAACAGATAAAAAGGGTATGAAAGATGATAATAATATGATTAGTCGTCGAATTTTTTTCTTAACTGATATGGAAGTATCAACAAGTGATGGTCAAACATTTTTAAAACGTATTCAAAATAATGCACAAAACCATACAGTTTGGTCAACAGTTGTTGGTGTTGGTCTTGATTTAGGTGCTGAAGTTATTCAATCAGTATCACGAACAATTGGTTGTAATTATTGTAATGTTCGAAATGCTCGAACATTTGATGAATTAATGAATACTGAATTTCATTATACAGTTACACCAATTGGATTTAATATTGAATTATTATTATTAAGTGAACGTTATACAATTGAACAAGGATATGGATCACCTGAAGTACATCAATTACAAGATCAAATTAATACTCGTCAATCAATTAAATCAATAACTGAATTTCCATCACCAATGAATGATAAAAATGAAGTACGTGGTGGATGTCTTTTATTTAAAATAATTGATTTAAAAAAAGATGAAAATAAAGAAAAATTTAAAATTAATACATCATGGGATACAATATCTGGTATACGACAAAAAAATGAACAAGAATTTGAATTTTCAAATGATATTGATTCATTTACACATTCTGGTATACGTAAAGCTATTTTACTTGTACGTTATACATCATTTATGAAACGTTATTTAAAATTACGTCAAGCATCAGCTACACCTGATATTATTGATGAATATCAATCAATGCGACGACAATATCCACGTTTAGTAGAATATTTTCAAAAAGAAATGACTATTATTGATGATAAATCATTAAATGAAGAAGAATACAAACATTTATTAGATATTGCTCAACAAGATGATATACCTTTAAATGAAAATCTTCTTCCACCACCA